GTGAAGCAAAGAATTGAACCCAAGAATGTTAGAGGTGATGAGGCAAAGGAACCTGGCCAGGGCATGCATGGGAGGGGAGGAACTATGGATGAGGAAGTCTAGCAGGGAACTTGTCTCCGGCCTGTGCTAGGGAAAGCAGGCTCCAGATCCTGGAGGAAGTTGGTGACAAAGGAACACAGATTCTCCCATCCATAGAAACGTGTGGGAAAACCAGCAAAAGCCATAGTCTTTCCCACAAGGAACAGAGGAGAGAAATCAGGGGCAGCTGCAGGAAAGGCCACGGCCACCTTTTATAGCTCCGCTTACTCATCCTCATGCCACATTCATAAGCCTTAGTCAGGCTTATCTAGCAAGATGATACATGACATAAATATCACCAAAATATTGGGAATTTCTCTTGTGTTGTCCTAATCCTACTACCCCCCTTAACTAGGAGACATGAAGCTGACATTGTCAAATGGTGAAGGAAGGGGAACCAAAACCCCAATTATATATTCTTAATTTTAAGCTTTAAAAGCTTTCATCAAAGCTGAAAAATATAAAGAATTTGGAATAAAATATTTGAGAAACTGGTTATTGTTGTAAGGAGAAATTACCCGCGAGACAAGAAACCACGGCAAACCAAGAATTTGGTGAAACAGATCCTCTCCCTTGCCAATCTGGAGAGGGAGTTTCTTTATTAGCAGATTTCTTATCCGGGCTGCCGCTGCGGCAGGACGCGCGCAGGAAGCAGCCCCGGGCGGTTACAGCTACAGCTTTTTATACACAATTCAAGCAGGGGGTGGAGTGTTAGTATGCGCGCAGGAACAAAGAGGGCTAGTCCTTTCTTTGTCTAACTTCGCAGTTACATGCATCATCCAGGGGGCCTCCTGGAGCTGTTATTTCCTTTTAAGGCATCCTGTCTGCTAGGTCAGCTTGACCAGTTGGCTAGGGTCTCGGGCCAAATGGCCGAGCAAGGAAGTTATAAATTTTCCTTTAGTGCAGGGTAGGTAATCATCCCGGGGAGAAGCTATAAACTTTCTAGGGCAGGGCTGGTAATTATCCCGGGGAGGATTCCTCCCAGGGTCCTACATTCCCCACTGCTTCTAGCGACCTTCCCTGGTCAAATCTTTGACTAGTCGATCTGCAAGCAAGCAAGCGCGATTTCCAAAAGCCAAAAGTTAGCGGTTAGCAAATGCTTCTATACTGGGGACTCTCCTACCTGGGGAAGTCGTCTATATGGAGTACTTAGAGCTAAAAGTTTAATGGTTTGAACTCTTTCACTAACAAAAGCTAGGATCCGGTTTATGAGTATTGGTCCACAAGTTAGCCCTACCAGAAGTAGTAAGAGGGGTCCTGCCAGAGCCGACAGGTGGGTAGTCACCCAGGGGGACCAATTATACAGTCCTTCAAACCAGCCCTGGGCATTCTCTCGCTCTAATTCCCTATCCTTGAGTCTTTTACGTAATACCTGAATGCTTTCTCGGATTATCCCAGAATGGTTAGCATAGAAGCAGCAGGCCTCTCCCAGGGCAGCACAGAGGCCTCCCTGTTGGAGAAATAGAAGATCCAGCTCTCGACAATTCTGGAGAACTACTTCAGCAAGGGAATCAAGGGCCTTTTCCAAGTGACTCACTTGGTCCTGTATCATTCTAATGTCTTCAGAAAACTGGACGGATAGCTTCTGGATGTTAACCTGACTGGTGGTTATGGCAGCGGCGCTAACCGCTGCTGACCCAGCAATTCCTAGTCCAGCTAGTAAGGGCACAAGCAAGGGAGTTCGTTTCTGCAACCTTAGGTGTGGGTCCGGGGCTAGGAAGTGCTCCATCCCTGCCGACCCAGAATATATAAAGACTTGGGGTATTACGTACGTCAGAATGCACAACTCAGGCCTCCCAGAAGGGGATAGGCAGCGTTGGAGACCAGAAGTACAGGCGAACCAGGTCCCCTCTGGGGCTAACAATAGGCTTGCAGTGCCTGAGCTCAGGAGGAACTGAAAACTACAGCTAGATTGATAGGGGGATTTGCTCATGGAGTAACTGCCATCTACGAAACAGGTCCCTTCGCCCTGTATATCTCCCAGGGTGAGATGGCTGGAGACCTGGAAACACT